AGTATGCATTAGATGGGGGTGGGGATTGTTATCGGGATACAGGGAAGTAACACGAGAAAGCCGTCTCTCTCTCGCCTCTCTCGTCCCCCTCTCACAAAAGAGCAGCCCACACTCCGACTCAACACGACATGAAGATAACTCGACCTGAAACTGCTCAGGCTGCCTTTCTCTCGCTCGTCCTCTTTCTTTTGCTTTGTTAACTGCGCCAGATGCCTCGGCTCATGTTCTACACTATGTGCATTATACCACAGTGCACATCTCACGAAAACAAGACACTGACATGCCAATACAGCTTCAACGCCCCATGATGAGAAAATCTGCTTAGCGATTTTTGGGGTAAGGGCGACCAGACTAGTGGAATGCAAGTCCGATCGTCCGAGCTTCCGGCGCCTCTTGCCTGCTGCAAGGTGAAGGGGTGTAGCCCAGAACTCCTCTCGACTCGAAAAAAAGAAGCCGAGCCGACAGACACGTCGACCATACCGCAACACGCCGCAACAGCTGCAGCTTGCAGCTGCACCTCACTCCGCCCCCGCTCCGCGGCCTTGTCCGGCATGTCTACGCACAGGAAGTCCTTTCTGCGGCACAGGGCAGCGCATAGCTCCTGCACATGTTACAGTCAGCCTTGCTTCAATGGGTCCCACTGCGGACGCTGGATTTTGGGACCACGGCAACTGTGCTCGTTGGCAATGCTACACCAGCCGAAAACCCCTACCGAAACGTATGTCGATGCCTGTCGTGTAATCTACACCAGCTGTGCGCAGCAGGGATCCTCAAAGCCTCCGTGCGCCGCTACATGGAGCAGCGTCCAGCCACGAGAATTCTTGGCGGTCCAGGCTCTCTTTGTGCACTCACCGCATTCTTTTTGAGGCTCCCGCGAGCTCGTTCGTGAAAGGCCACAGTGGAAGAGAGGCAAGGACCATTGCGTCTTCCAGTCGGCCCTCAGAGACCTCGACACCCCCTAAGCAGACTCAGCCTCTCGGCCTAGGCGCTTCATCTTCCGACTCAACTATGAGGTACGGACAGCCTGAAAGCCAGCCCGGTGGCCCATGTCCTCCAGCTTTGCAGGCTGACAGGAGGCAAAGCGGACGTGCCACGCCCAGCAGCGGCTGCCACAAACCATGCATTGGAAAAGTAAATGCTGGTGTCAGTGTTTGGCCGACCATTCTGCTGCCAAGCCGTGCTCACTTCGATTGACAGCCGATGAGCCAAGCAATCTCTGCTCTTTGCAGATGAACCACCTGATGCGTTTGGACATGCCATGCAAAGCCTCTGCTCTTGTGTCAGTATGAAGAGTTCCTCAGATGGCTTCCTTAGTGAGAAGAAATCAGCCTTTACATGCCCAAGAACCACATGAGGAGCCCGGATCGTCCTCCGGCAGCGGTGGCCGGGTCGGACCTTCGGTCTGATCGTCGGAAGTGCGATTAAAAGACTGGCGAGATGGCCTTCTTCCTCGTCTTCATCCGTGAGGCCGGGCTCCAGGTCCTGGCAAGCTCCCTGAGTGCGGGGACTCCCCCCTGGTGCAGGCCGGGCCTCCTCGGGCGGATTGGCTCCATCATCCTCAGCCTCCGCAGCGCACAGAGACTGCGAGAGTCGTCGGCGAAACAATCGCATCCTGCCGTCTACTGCAGCTCAGGTCGGAACAGGCATCTGCTCTTGTTCCGAGGGTGCGTCTGGAAACAATTCCTGGAGCTACATCTGCAACGAGCATGAGTTGTCGGCCAAGGTTGATCAAAGCCGTCGAGACTTCAAAGGGCCGTTCTGTTTGCCTGTCCCACAGAGCCGCACCGTTGCAGACAGGCACTCCGGGTCCTCTGCTATGTCTGCAGGATCCTACAGTGGAGTAGAGCTGCAACAACACGCATCGGGATGTTTGTCACAAGAACTGGCGGAGTCTCGTTCCGCAAGCCACGGTATGCTTGCAATGCCCCGGAGACTGAAGCAACTCAAGTCCATCAGTAGTGTGTCTGTTGACACCAGTGAAGAGGCCGAAGCAATGCGTTTTTTCAGTGTGTCCGGATCCTTGGATGCAGATGGCGATCCAGGTTTCTCCTTCCGACAGCTCGACATGCCGACGCGGCTCGGTTTTTTTATAGATAATTCGAGGCAGAGGGGTAGTTTCATAAACAGCCGAATGATGTGGGAACGCATCATGTATCTGCCGCAAAGTTCCGAACCCTCGCCTTTGATTTGCTGGAGGCCCTGGAGGGAGTCGGCGGCTTCCCCTGGGCAACTGAACGGCCAGTTTGATACATCCACGGGACAGCGCTGTGACCGGCCTCCAGGTTTTGAGACGAAGCAGCCGAGAGGCGCTTGCCCTGAGCCCCCGCAGAACCGCAACGGAACGACGAATCCCCAACTGCTGCCCTGGCCTGGGAGGTCAAAGAGCCGCGCTTGCCCTGAGCTGAGCACCGAAGATCACCGAAGCACGGAAACCGCACGGATCTCAATTGCAGCCTACAGCGTAGCTAAGCGAGGCAAACGTCTCCTGGCCCCTGCATGGAACCACAGAAAACATCCCAGACCCGCAACTCTCGGCCTGAGAAGATGTGACGGATCCTCGCTTGCCCTTTCAAGGCATGACGGCCATACGGTCATCAAAGTCTAGCAGCAAAGGCAAAGCCCACAACGAGTCCGGTCCCGCCTGTGAAGAGGCGACAGACCCTCGCTTGGCCTGGAACAAGAGATTGGAGAAGAGGCAAAGGGACTTGCTTTGCTTTGCCACGCCCCTCCCCTCCGCTGCGTCTCCCTGCCGTAGCTCATTTCACACGTCCAACTCGACAAGCACATCAGATCTGTGATGCATGCCTGTCCCGGCGGAGTGGAACCCCGGGAACTGGGCGAGGACGGCTTCTCCTGCCCAAGGCTCCCTCTGGCAACCCGAAGTGGAGATCCAACGCAGGCATTTCAACGAAGGTGCTTGCTATTCATCTGAAATCGTCCCACCTTCGAAGTAGGGCGCTGCAGCTGCTTCTTGTCCTCCCAAGTCAATGCTTGACCGTCGTTTCATGCGATTTCCCAGAGAATCTGTGCATTCATCTCGCTTCAGTCACACAGATCTCCGCGCAAGGCCGCGCAAGTCTACGTGAACTATCCAGGAAAGGTAAGCTAGGAAAGTACGCCCACATATCACAGGTCCTTGGCGCCTTTCTTTGGTTGCCTCATGTCCAATCCAATCATGCTCGATCTCGTTCCCGTCTGATGGCCCAGCCATGTCTTATGCAGCGGCCATCCGAGAAACAAGAACAACTATGCTTTTGCTTACCCCAGGGCTGCAAGCTGATGATCGCTCCTGTCACAAAAATGAACTCGAGCTGCTCAACGTCTCTGCACCAAAACTCAAAGAAGCAGCGACCCGTTTTGTTCGGCGCCCGGCTTGGAGGGCTTGCGCTTCGCCTCGAAGGCAGGAGGCCGGTCTGTGAGGCCTAGTTGGGCCCTCGTTTTCCCTGGCAAAATCTCTCAGGAATAAACGCAGCAACGCAAGGTTTTTTTGGGAATCCGAAACGGGGCTCGGCCTGGGTCTGCAGAGGCTCCACGTTGTCCTGAGCCAAATCTCTCGCAAATCTCTGAAAAGGTGCCAAAAATTGCTTGTGCTTTGCGCAAGAAGTGAACACAAGGAGTAAGCAAATGAAACCTGGCATCCCTCATGCCAACATCCGACTAAAGAAGGGAACGCCATCAGGCCGCAGGAAGAGCAGCAGCAACGGGCACTTTGTGGTGGCAAGAAGCAAAATCAACACACCCAGCAAACTGGAATCTTCCAACTTCACTTCATGCCACGGCCTGCGGCGCTTCCACCCGAAGCTCAAGCCTGAGGCTAAGTATCGCTCACTTCAGAGAATCTTCGGCCCTGTCTAAGACAGCCAAAGGTGCTCATTGGCTGCAAGGAACAGCTTCGAAGTAGGCTCCCAGCGGCGGAATATAGTGGAGTGCCTGACATGTGAGCAAAGAGTTGGGAAGCAGACTCGAGCTCCGGTGTAGTCGTCGGAAGAACATGAAAGCAGCTCGTTTGTCGCCTCTGCAGGTGCTATCACAAGAAATAAGAAGTTTGTGCCATGGTCTTGTCTACTGAGTCTATTGCCGGAAATGGCAGCCCAGCAGTGCTCAAGTGCAACAACCAAGTCATGGAATGAACAATGCGACACAAGAGCTTGGTATTGAAACTTGCTATTGCGCCACCCCCCGGAAAGAACCGCTCCTAACCATGCAACATCGCAGCCGATGTATTGTACCATTCTAGCGCACTGCCTGCACCTCCTCCATCTTCCGGCTGTCTGCATAAGCCCCCCCCTTCCAATCTCTGAAACGAGCTGTGAGCTTTCAACGACCTGTAACCTGAAAACGGAGGAGGCTCGCGAAGCCAAGCGAAGAAAAGATTCGCCCGAGGCTGCCAAAATGCTCACACTAACCCTCAACACACCGCCGCTTTCAGGATGTCATGTCTACGTCGAAGCTTGCTGGAGCACAAGCTGAACAGACTCTGGCAAAACAATGACTCGTGTCCAGAGTTGCACGCATTGCTCGCACTAGCAATACTGGCATTGTTCAAGTTTCGAGCTTCACCCTTTGGTGCTATCAGCGTCGCAAGCTAGATGGATCTGTCTGTCCCATCCTACGTTCAGGATACTGCTGGCGCAATGGGGTCTGGACGGGCTCGTTTCGGGCCAGGAAAATTCGTCTGGTCTTGTGCTAATACGAGAAACTACTCTGTGTAAGGCTCGAGTTGACCGCATTGCCGGGCGGTTGTTTGCTCTCAGCACACCGCTCGAAGCGTGATAGACTGTGCGATCGTTCATCTCTTCCAGAGTTAGTTCAACAATCCTACATACCCTTTACCGTAGACAGTCTTCCGTTCTGGACAACAAGCAGAGTGCTCCAAATTGAAGGTGACATGCAGACTCCAAACTCTTGCAGTCATAGGCCACGGCATAATTAATCAGAATTTCAGGCAGCCTCAGGCGTAGCTGCAGCAATCATGCAGCACAAACCTCACCCACCTGAATTTACCAAGTCCTTGACTTGCAGATACAGATCTGATCCAACCTACCCACGCACATACGAGTACCCTTGTCCTCAAGTCTTCCAACAGCCCCCGACTCAAGCCCTGTGGGCGCCTGCTGTCCAACAGCCAAGGCAATTCCCCAAGCAAAAGACGAGGGCGTAACCGGCGTAGCCCCTGCTGCAACGCCACCGGATCGAAACATCGAAGAGCCCGAGTGCTTCGTCTACCTTTCAGAGTTTTGAAATTTACTTAGTCGCGCGCTGCAGGGTGAAAGGTGAAACGTGTCACGGCTGGCAAAAGGGTGCTTTCCTTCACCCTTTGCTCTATGATCTCCTGTTCAGACCAGTTTGTCGGCATGGCAGGTCGCCGGGCAAGGCCCAACTGATGGTTAAGGGATAATTTCAGGAACCCGATATGCGAAGCTGCGACTGCCATGATCCCCGGCCACCACCAAGCCAAAAGGCTCTCTCCTGCAGCTTCGGCGGCGAGCATAGCTCGTGCCAAACTGGGATCATGCCTGGAAAACTACTGCTTGCTGTGCTCCTGCGGAGCTTCCGCCGCGCGGTGCAATGCCATTGGTCACATGGGTCGCTGGCTTTGTTTTCAGCTGCACGACAACGACGCAGGCTCAGGTGTGTGGAGGCTCCCTAGGAGGAAATCTGCGCGAGGCTCGTGATCTGACGGTACCGCCACACGCTTGTCCCCGGTCACCCCAAATGCCAAACGAATTCTGCAAAGCCTCACCTCTCCTCTCATGGCAGCTGCACTGCTGCACTTGAGCTTGCCCAGCCTGCCATTGATGCATACATCACAAGAAGCCAACATCAGAGTTCTGCCAGCCTCTGCCGCCCTTTAGGCATCGCGCAATGAGCTCATACCTGCGGCTCACACGGCCAAGTCGAGTATCAAAACTCTTGGTTGTTGGGAAAGCACATCGAAGAATGATACCGGTCTCGTGGGAGGTCTGCATCTTCCCACCCCAATGGTGATAGTATTCCTCCACAGAATTCTTGAAGCGCCTTGCCTTTCAATGCATCTTTCAAGGCGCTCCTGCCAGGGCAAGATGCGCGGATCTCCTCTGCAGACTGTCCAGACTGTCCAGTCCTTCCCCAACATTTGTTGAAGTCGCCACTGGAGTCCCCGAGCCTGAACATGCGAATAGAAGTCCAGTGCCACAGGGCGACATCGGCTTTGCCCTGTAGCCTTCTGAACACTTCGACGTTTCTGTCTTCACATGAGGGTGCCCCTGAAGCCTGGCTTGACCGCTTGACCCTTAAGCAGCGAAGACCTGCGAAATACCGCGCCCTTCTGCTCTCGTGTCGCGAGGCCTATCCGGGCTGTCATCGCCGCCAGGAGAGACTGGCGAGACTTGGCACATCACTTGCTTGTCGCTCAAAGCACCTTCTTTGTTACTTAGAGGACCAGCCGTGGTGCTCCCAGGCATGAGCATATCAGCGGCTACTGTGTCCACAAGCAGAAAACCACTGTGGCAGCTGCAGAAGACCCGGAAGTTGGGGCTGCCACAGTCACCACACGCCGGCTGCGACGATGGGACCTTCCAGTGTGGTTATTGGGACACAGACGTAGGAGTGCTGATGATTGATGATTGATGAAGAGCCGAACAGTCGCCACATGGCAACTCAGTTCTGCTGTGTCTGAACAGTCTGTGGTTTCTCTGGCAGATGACCGGTACAACCCCATCGTCACTGCGGTACCAAGTGTGTCTACGGGCGGGGTGTCTCCACGCTGGTAGGAAAAATGTCTACACTACGCACCTGCATCAAAGATGACAGCCTAGTGCCCATTAGGCTATACGAAAATATCGTGCCGCAAGACTGCACAGCCCCTGCATCATGAAACACCACATCTCTCGCGGTCAAACGTGTCGATGAACCTTAACCAGGGTGCTACTGTGTTGCAGTTGGGCCTGCTTCCGCAAAAAAGCTACCTTTAGTTTGCGAGGCTTCATGCGTTTTTGCGCCATCTGGGGTGAGTTTCCGAAAGCCTTGAATTTAGGATGACGAGTTCAGCTAGTGCTGGACGGAAGAGGCCTCGGCGATTTCGCGTGGCGTTACGGGCTGTAGCTCCGGCCTCCAGAAAAAGCGGCCAATAGAAAAGTTCGGAATAAGTGCTTTACAATGAGTTTGTGCCAAGGGCAACATCTGGAAAGAGCAGCGAGGACAGGACATGCCAGGATCTGTCTCCAAGTCGGAGTCCTGGCCAAGGCAGATCCCCTTGAGCTCAGACGTGGCTTTTCTGAGCAGCAATAGACGAGCCCGGTTTTGGGCAGCACAAAGAACGGTGCATAGTTGCACTGCCACTGCATCTCTCGCATCGCACTAGTGCATGTCTGCACTGCTTTGCACTCCATAGCTGTTGCCTTTTGTGCGTGGCAGTCTGTATTTGTTTATCAGTGACATTCCAGCGGCAGTCCCAGGCAAATGTGGGCCAGGGCCCTAGGGCCCCAGGGTATGAAGTGGCTCAGGATTTGGGGTCCAGTGGTTCGCAAAAAGGTTGGGGGATCCCCGGCCGAATGTTCAGGCCCTTTTCCGTAAAGCCTAGCAGGGCCCACTTCGAAACACAGTCGAAAGAACACTGTGGAAAGGATACCTCCACAGGAACCCCTCGAAAGCACTTCGAAAGGATAGAACACGCTGTCGAAAGAACACTGTGGGAGCAGCTGTAGCAGTCGCAGAACCCAGACCTATTCACGTAGTGCAGCAGGCATGCACATCTGTCAAACCTTCAGCTCTCTCAGCGTCAACGCGACAGTCCCTTCAACATGCTTCGCCTCGTCCTCCTGTCTTCGTGCTTCGAGCGGACCTGGCTGCTTCCCAAACAGCTTCAACATACCGGTATGTCTTCCACTTGGACTCCCAAATCAGCAGCTGAAGCATAGCTAAAAGGGGGACGCCGCCTGCGCTTGCCGTCAGCTCAGCTGAGATAGCGTCGATCTGCAAGTGCTGAGATGAGAACTCTGCTGGCTCTACCCGAAAAGGCGCCGTCGCCCATGTCGCGGCTCTACTAGACACCGGCCCCTCTCGGACCGAACCAGACCGAAGCCAGTAGGCAAGCATCATTTAGCACCCGCAATATTTCAAGCAGCTACCGTGAAGTGAGATTAACGGCAACGCCATGCAAACACCAAAATTCCTGCAGGAAGGCCGCACAGAAAGCTGCCGTCTACAAACGTCGGCTCAGGCCTGCTCTAAAGGAGGCGCAACAGGCTTGTCTGCGGCGACGACGGCTGCCTGGACGGAACTCGAAGCTTTGCAGCCAATGCAAGTCAGCCTGATGTTGCCATCTCTTGGAAGGGTGTACAACATGTTTTGGTGTCGCAGAAGCCATCTCTCCATCTCCAGCTCGTTTGGCAGAGTTGGCATGGCATCAGCCTGCTGGCCTCTTCCAAGAAATTCCGGAAGCTGCTCTGTCGTCTAAGTCGCAGCTCCTGCGCGAGCCCCACGTCTAAGCGTTGGACCGCTAGACCATGCTAGACCGTTAGACCCCTCGTCATGGAATCCGTTGATTGGTTGGTGCAAGTCAAGGCACCCGGAATTGCAGGAGCTCTGTCTTGAACTGGACCAGACACCTGGCCAAAAACAACTCGACTGGCGGAATGTATTCGCCCCCGGGCTTGACTGCACTTTGAATAATTGGAAACATAGCACATACATAGCATAGACTAAACCAATCAAGACAAAGACCACGAAGCAGAAAGCATCACCTGCAGGAATGGCAGTCAACGCCGAATGCAAAATCGAAACCTGTAAGCCGCAAGTCAAGACAAGCCAGATGGTCGACTGCAGGTCCGCCAGGCTAGTGCAAGCTGCATGTCCTCTGCCCACACCAAACCGCAAAAGGCAGTCGGGATTTGCCACAGAAAACGCTGTCAACATGTCGCCCTGGCGAGGACAGCACAGTTGCGCTTCATGGTTGCAAGCTCTGCAGAACTCAAAAAACTTCTTCTGGCAATCTTCTGTGCTCCCACGACACGTGTAAGACACGCATGCTGGGCGCCGAGCCAGGACAACAACCTTCCATTGGCGCTAGCACACGCGCGAAAACGGGCAGCACCCGAGGACGAGTGCAAGGCAGGGGCCACCAGGACTTCGAGAAGTTGGGGGTGGGAGGTGTGAGTCTCGTAGCTACGTGCCCGATCAATTCGGGATAAGCAGAGCAAAAGAGTCTTCAGGTACCAAACTGGACACGTCATACTCTAATGAACCGGCTTGTCAGAATCGCTGGGAGGCGGTCTTGCGTTCTGGTAAGCTAAAACTTGGGCCAACTCTGCCAGCATCCAGAAGCTGCAAACATGCACCACCGACATGTGCGGCTTCGCAACTGCTTGGGAGAAGGCTCCGACAGTGTCACAGTATGTGACAACACGGCTAATGCAGATGACGAAGAGCCGCACCCTGAAGATGGAGTCAGCAGCAGCATCAAAGCCCCAGAAGCTCGCGACCTCCACATTCAGTCGATCAAGAAGTGTGCGCGGACATTAAGGTGAGGCGGAGGCCTGCCATGCAGTTCGCCCATCAAGATCACGAATGCCTGCAAAGAGCTGTATTACAAACTCAAAAATGCAGAAATGTCGAGAAAGAACAGGCTCAAAATGGCGAGTCGAGGCGGGATCAAATCGCAGCCTCCCCCCAAAGGAACGAGGCACACTCAATAATCCAGAGGGACTGACAATCCCACGGGCAGTCTTTGAAGATGCAGCTGGCTATCGGAGGCCAACTCGTGAGTTCAACGATCGTCGAAGAAACAAGCACTGTTAGACCGACATGCACGAATCGATTGCACGTCCTGACCGCTACTACGGATGCATTGCCTGCCTCTGAGCTTGTGTCCTCGTGATTCGTTCAAACATGTTCTCAGCTGTGCATTTTGGTCCCGTGATACTTCCTTTGCGCACATCATCGTCACCACTCTCAATTCGTTTTCAATAGCCAGCGTATGCCTTTCTTGCAGTCGTTGCTGGTGAGTGACCATTCGTTCCGGAACTGCAGCATTGCGAAGGAAATGTGTGCCATGAGCAGCGAGTGCGAACCTGTCACCGTCACCTGCCTGGACGGCAGAAGCGCTGCTTGCAAAGCTCGCCGCAGATCTGTCAGGGCTCTGCATGTGAGGCTGAACTGCATCTCTCTGCTCTGTTGATCTGTCTAGTTTTGTTTCACTCTAGGCCAAGAAGTGCATTTGGGCATGGCTAAGTTCTTGGGTCTTGGCCTCTCCGCTTCCAGCAGCTGCTGCACGATGAAGAGGACTCAGCGAAGCCGCATTGCGACAGGATTAGGTGCCATGACGCTTCTTGCACCATGTATAGCCGTACAGCCGCCGGTCGGGAGACGCAACACTTTTTCAAGACATAAGCGATGGCAGGGAGTCGGGCACAGCATGTGGGTATACAAGACTTTCCACAGCTGCAACGGGGCTCCACCATGGGTACCGATCCGAGACATTAACATGCTTTCGACGCTGGCCTTTGTAGCTGCGCAAGCGACTGGCAGCTACATCATACCCTCCGCATCACAGCAGCAGACGTCCGAGTTGACAAACCCAGGTAAAGTGCCGCCCTTCACAGACCTGGTCGGCCAACCAAACCTCAGGCGGGAATGTCACCCAAGGCTCGCAAACTCCATCTGATCGTCCTTTAACTGCTCGTCTTGAATTGATCGACACATCTCATGCTCGCAACTCGAAGTTCAGAGCCTGTGAACCGAGCCGGATGAATCATATTCAAGCTGCATAAATCCGAAACGCCAATATCAGGATCGAACTGCAGACATCTCCCACCAAGTGCAAAACAGATGCCGATAACGCCCCCTGGCCAGCATATCCACCAGCGTCACCCACAAAGCACCACCTGCAGCACTTCCGCGTTTCGCGGCATCTTTGGGTAGGCTCCAGGCTTGAGGGCTTAGGCTTACGATGGGGGAACCTTCATTTCCGGACATCGGTGATTTGCAAATGCTTGATTCGAGGATCAGGGATGAGGCGTTCAGCGTTTAGTGCGTTCCTTTCATTTCAGGGTGACCTTGCAGGTCTTCGATATGGCACGCGGGGCATCGTAGCTCTGTCTTCAAGAAGTCTAATGTGACTTTAGCCTGCTTATTGAGGGTGCTTCCACGCACGAATGCTTTGCTCCCAACCCCCGAAACTGCCGAAACTGCTTCGCATTCAGATGTGGTGCAGGTTGTACGCTGCATATCGATGTTCCTCCGCAATGCCCCAGTCGATGAACTTGGCAGACCTGAGGCTTTTGAATATTCAGGGTTCGAGACGGCTGTCCTTTCTCTGCATTACAACTTCGCACATGCACCACCCACCGCAATACAGCGACGATTGTAGATGAGCGATTCAAGCGTGACTTGCCTCCCTGATGAGTAAAGTGGCCTGGCACCATTTCCAAGCATGACCTCCCCCGTGACACAAGTTATGCACACATGGCTACCTTTCGTGTTCGACATGGATAATTGCTTTCTTGCCTGCTGCCTCCCTCCCCGTTTCGACTTTCCGCGTTGCTTAACTGCTCCTTGCAGACTTGCCGGCGGCTCGACACTACCTGATTCATTACATCCCGTCTCTGAGCCTTCTTTTTGTTCATTCTGCCTGTCCAGTGCAGCACAGACGGTTCTGGACAGCGAAAAGGGGGGCCGCAGTGCTGGCAGTTGGCAGGCCATAGATGAAGCCGTTGCCGAAGTTGGCAATGAAGGCTGCCTGGGATCAGGAACGAGGAGCACATTCACCTAATCATAGGATACAACACATAGTGTATCACACACACACACGCATATATGCACATATTACTATCTTATATCTTAAAGATGAACCTGGGTCCCTGTGTCCTACTGGAAGCAGACACCGACGGGAGGCGAGAGCCGTGACCAGAGCCAGCAGCAAGAAGTCCAGGGCTTCCCCAGCCACGGACAGGAAAATCCCCAGAGACAAGTACCTCTGAACTCTCTCAGGGGTTTAGGGGTTCAGTGTCGGGTCAGGGGCTTGAATGTAGTGGCAGCCCAGTGGCAGAAAGCACTTTCGCTTGGACCTGGGCTAGCACTCTGGGCAGTGGAGGCTGGACGCCCGACCTCATCAGCCCCGAAACCCAAAACCCAAACCTCGATTGATCTTGCATGGGGCTGTGCCCTGCGGCCCACATCAGCATCACTCCGGCTCTGTGGCTCGGTGACGAGGAGATGTGTTCAACCTCTAAAACCTAAGCCGCTTAGAGCTGTCTGGGTCGAACTAGGCCGACATGAAATGTTTGTGTCACAGACATTGGAGCCAGTTTGGTGGCATTCAGGAATCGTGGCAACCGTTCGGCATTCAGTGGGCTATATACCGGGGTACTCTTGTACGTTGGCTCTGTTCTGCTTGATGGGCTCTTTACTGCTTGGCAAATGGAATTGTAGTGGACAGGTATTCGGTGGGAGTAGATCATACACATTGAATAGCCGGCCATTGATAGCTTGCGAATAGCATCAGATTAGGCACTCTCAAACGACATGGTTGGTAGTCGTCGGGTAGCAAAAGATAATTAGTTTTAGGTCATTAGGTGTTCTTGTTCGCTAGTAGCGACCAGAGAATTCTGGCGTCATATGATTGGTCTGTTGCAAAGATCATTATCCCGATATTTCTGAGATGTGGATGCATATTCTTGCGCGCCCCGGATGCTCATACATTTCTGAAAGCTGCTCTAGGGCTGTCAACAGTCTGCTGCTTTATCAGAAGTGCAAGTCCTGCTCTTGTCGTTTACCCTTGCTGCTATCGCACGCTGCGAATTCTGACATATCATCGGACTTGTATCAAACAGGGAATTAGCATCTGGCATCCCAAACCCCATAGTCCCAAGAACCACTTCATGAGCACCCTGAACCTCTCAAGAGCACCCCATGAGTCCAAAGTGCGCACAATACTGTATAGTGGGAGCACAGTTGGCACTCCAGAACACGCGCCGGAGCGCGAGTCCCACCCCAAAATGCACGTGGGACTGCGGCGGCCAAACGATTTTGGGAGATGGAAAGATGCATGTGCCTGGGAGCGGCCTCGCGCTTTTACTGACCATTACGAGCACCTGTAAGACCCCCAGAGTCCCGCAGTAGTCAGTACTCAGTACCAGCCCTTTTGCGGAACTGTCCAATATGCCAGATAAGGTAGTGGTTCAAATTTTGATACTGACACGTCATGCTCCATGTAAATCCTCTGCTCACTTCTCAATTGTCATGCCGCGTCGCGTAATATCCAAGTACTGCGGCACCCGCCGGCTGATTGTGTCGCCAGCAGCCATACATGGAAACCAGATAAGAGATGTGTAGAGGGCGAACCTCTGCTTGTTCTTCAAGCTCTTTCTGCAGGGATATGGCCAGGGCTTGCTCCAGACAAGCAGCGGGATTAAGTGATCTTCGCTTTCAGGGCCACCGATGATGGGAACCTGGCATTGGTGCAAATCGGTTGCCAACAATCCTGCCCTGCTTGTCTGGTGCCTTTGGGCTGTTGAAAGTGTTGAAGAGGAGTGGAAAACCGTCCTGGCGGGAGACCGAAAGTCAGGAGCAAAATAAGCTGCGGTCGGACTCGGAGCTCAACGTGGCTACACCTCCAGCACGAAGTTGCCAATGAACTTTGCGACGAACCACCTACAGAGAATGAAGATCCAGTCCAACAGGGGCTATCCAAACCTAATGGAGCACGGTCGACAAACACTTTAATTATCGGCGAATCTTCGCCCAGCCGCGGAATCATGATGGGCACCCAGTCCTGACACTAAACCGCGGAGGTGCGGCGCAGAGTGATGGGGTTTTGGCATGACGGTCCAGCCAGCACTTCAGGGAGTTCCAGAAGACTTTGCAGCCCTTGCCTTTGTTTTTCACAGCCACGACCTGCAGGGCAACTGGCACTACCGATAGCCGCACAACAGAGGCTTAGCCTCTCTTGGCCGCTTTCTGTGGAAGATCCAGATCGCAAAGGGCCTTATGTGGCTGTTGAGCAAAGGCCCAAACTTTGGCGTAAGTATGGCAGCCGGACGACATGAGAATCCTGGGGCGCCTACAAGCATGCCGCATTGTAGGCATAATAGACAATCACCTCGAATACAGATAGTTTGAGGAGCACGGAATCCCTGCAAGCTTTCGTCGTCGAACACCACTGCACACTTATATAGTCCAAAAAGTACATGAGTAGTGCAATATAGAGCACCTTCTTTCGAGTGCACTCTGAGTGCATAGTGTTGACTTTCCATCGCCGTGCTTCGCAACTTTCGATGGCATGTAACTTGGTGGCAGTCAGAACCATGAAGAAAGCTGCAGCCAAAAGGCAGGCATCCCGAAGTAGTTAAGCAGTCCTGGGTGGAGAGCGGCGACAGATTCCACCACGCACGACTCCATTGATGCGGCCAGACTGAACCCCGCAATGCTACGCCATGTCTTCGCACCCTCCTAAACGAGCAGGCATCCTTTGGTATCACGTGACACTGGCCCTTGCTTCGAACTTCCAAGTTGGACTGCCAAAGATTCCGAGGATTGTGTTGTTCACAAAGAAGCCCAGGGGAGCTCCTCAGCCGCTCAAGGTCCGGGACATCTGCGCAGTCCAAGGTTCGAGTTGGTCCGAGTCAAGCACCCATAATGGCAAAAGTCTTGGTGTTCTTCCCGAGCCTGGCTTGGCGGAGACACAAAGCCGCTGGCCATGCTGGCCGCGGAGGGCCACGGACAGCCGCTTAAGCGGCTTGGGCTCCGACGAGCTGATCACGCTCAGGAAAGTGCCCTCAAAGAGGCCGACGGCCACACCTCCCAGGATGTACCTTGCCCCAAACGATCGTCGTGTGAGTTTTGCCGCTAACACAGCCACACCTTGCCGACGAAGTGCTGCAGCCGAACAACCCAAAGGTCTGTTACTCCTGCGCCCCACACAAAGACCATGGGGACCAGGAGCGCGGCAATCATGACTGCCTCCAAGCAGAATTCAACTGAGTCTGATGCCTGCCAGTTTTATGATGTACGGACATCTAAAGCTCTCGCCGTGCAAACTGCCAAGATCTGCCAAGACACGTAGGATGTGTACACAATGCCTGCAGGCTCACACAGCAGAATGCAACGGCTCATCAGCTCATCTGCACAATGCCGACATGGACTCGGTCGCACAAACAGCATCCACGCAACCCTTCCCATGTAGTTAACCATGGAGCTTGACAGCACGGCCAGGCATCAGGAAGGCCCGCGGTCTGTGTAAGGATGCCATGCTACATCGGCCAGCACACATATTTCTGCCGGCCAGTGGAACTTGCTGATCCGTTCCAGAGTTTCAGCTCATTGGGACGTTGTGACGCCTACATATTAACACTCAAGGCCGGAGCATGGCTGCAAATGCGTGCCAAAGAAACCACCACCCTCCGTTAAATGATTTCCATAGGTATCAAGCTGTCGCCAGCAAAACCGCGTCTGTGCTCGGGAGGAACAACGCATGGCCACGAAGCGCGTGAACCGATGCAAAAGAAAGTGTCGCAAACCTTCACAACAAGAACAACAAGCTGATGAAAGGGCCGCACAAGATGTGCATTCGCATGAGGTTATGAATCACATCGTTACGAATGCAGAGACACTGCACCCAGCAGCACCAAGCACAAACCTAGCTGTTTCGAAGCCTGCAGGGTCCGTGAATACGAGGAAAGCAATTTGACCTTGGCTGTCAGGCTTGCTGCCAGGGATTCTACTAACCGCCAGAAGCTTGGAGCTTGTGTGAACTGCAGACTAATATTCACCCGCTTGGGTATGACACGGCTGCATTGGCCATCTCGCGAATCTAGCTCTGAAACGTAACACCGAGATCCGAAACTCACACGCGTTTGCAGAATCGGGCTCGCGCAGATTCGCATGACCATCTTGGCCAACTGAAAGGTTGCAGTTGCTTCCTGGTCCGCAATGCAACAACTGTGATCCGACAGGCCCATGCACAGAAGCAGAGGGAGAAGCCGCAAGCGAGGGATGGCCGGGGGAATTGAGAGCCCAGCTCCCATCACACCAAGTGTACTAAGTCTGAAGGCTGATGGAAGGCTTCAACAGTCTGCTTCCAGGAAGATGACATCTTGGGGTGCACGCTGCACGGCGCTCACCTCGCAGACCCTAACATTTCTTGAATGCTGCTTTGCCTGGAACTCCGCGGACATAGTCTTCCCATGGACGCCCAGCTTATGTTTCAACGCATGCTGTGGATTCCTTGGCTAATGCTGCACGAATTGAAGGATCTTCGTCTTCAAAGGAGGGCTTCGTGCCCTTCAGTGGAGAAGACAAGCAGCTACAACAGACCCTTGGGCCAAGTCTCCCAACCATGGCTCCGTAGCCCTGCACGTCTGGCTCCAATCAGCGTGCTGATGCGTGCTGTGCATGACTCTCACACGCTGCAGCCGCAGGCACACAAGCCACACAAGCCATTATAAGCTTAGAGCAGCCAGTAAAAGGAATGCGTGAAAAGGGCCGCTAAGGCCGGCGACTCAGTCCGCCTGCCTGGAACATGAACATGAAGGCGAGGAGGAGTACCCCTTGGATCGGACACTTCGGTGTTGGCGTATCGGAGAGGCTGCAACGTCCATAAACCCGGCCCAGATCGCAATCCAGGGACGCACAGGAGGAGGGTCATCGTCACTGTCGGAATTCCTTGGAAATAGAACCCGCTTGCTGGACAGGAACAATAGCCGACATTGCTGAGCACCATCAGGCCCACAACTTCAGCATGTCATGTCTCAAGCATAGCATCACTGAGCAGGGGCCCTTCCTTCAAGAATGCACAGCCGCTTCACCCCCGGAGGCCTCCTTAAAAGCATGAGCCAAGAAACAGTGCGGCATCACTCTGCTCCTCCACATCCGTGGAACCTTCTCATGTAAAGGAGAATGTCGTGCTAATGAACATCTAGAGTCTCCAGACATGTTGCATCAGACGTTTGCGATTCGACATCGAACTAGTCTAAAAGCCAGCGCTGCCCCATACCACGCAGAAATTGTTGGGACTTGTTGGTACTGAAGGACGTAGGTGTCCAAGACAGCCTGCAGCTTAGCCACCTTCGTATCCGTCGTCGGACTCGCTGTCCTTGCACAGCCTCGTTTTGCCACAGTTGGCTTAGATGTTCTCTCAAGTGGGATAGCTCCGGCACTTCGCCTCACCTCATGTCCCAACTATTTATTAAGGAAAACATAGGTGTTGCAGTGCGAATTCAAGACCAAAGCATACGAAGCGCATGCCACGTGGCTGAACCACCTCTACGGCTCTACAGATACCCCTGCAACTTCAATGATGTCTGCACCAACGCATGTTTAGCGACCACCTCATTAGCCAAGATACGCATCAGCCATGGCGACTTTGCGCGCGCTTGGGCCGATAAGCTTCTTGTAGAGTCGCTCAGATCAGTGAGATCGTCATGGAACAGCAAACCCCAAGAAAAGCTAAAGAGCTGGCAAGTCATGGGTCCCGATCCCGACAGTAGATCAAAGCAACTACAAGCCTGGACAGCCATTTAGCGCATAACTTCACCTTCTGAGACACTGGCGTCTGCCCGCGGTAGTCTCGCTGGAAGAGCTTCTCAGTGAGCTTCTGCTGCGTGGCTTCACCCACCTCACCGGGAGCACAGGACACAACCCTCCGGGCTCTGCATAGTGGGTCCTAAAGCCTTTGCGGAAACCTTTCTTGCCCATTGCACCGCTTTGCTGAAAGCTTCGGCAGGGCCAACCTCCTCAGCTGCGCTGAGCACAGCAAGGGCGAGCTGCTTCATGCCGCGAGAACATGCCTGTGCCGAGACAGCAACTGGTTCCTGGAGCTTCGGCCACTGCGATTGGAGCGAAAGGTGGAAATGAAATTGTTTCCACGAGACACAACATCATGCATGCCTTGCATGCAGCAGCCGATTAACTGACACAGCACTAGACAAAAAGCGCCTCGTGGAGCAGTGTCGAACCATAGCGATCGTGAGAGATCAGCATGTCTGGATCCGCTCGGATCTGTCACGGGTTAAGAGCAGCACTGACAAGTTCCCCTACGAGCAGATGAACTTCTATGACCCATGGCCATAGCAAAGCCTCTTTCAAAACATGACCAAGTGCTCAGGAAAGAGCCGCGGCTTGCAGGCCTCCTCTAGAAAGCCCAAGGCCTCCTCCTCGTGGGCAAGATCAATCTCCTGAAGGGATGATGGGCTTCTCTTGTGAGACTCGACGGCCCTGGAGCCAAGGGTGCTCAAGCTTGGGGAGCTACCTTCATCAGATCCTCCCTTGCTTTGAGGCATCGCTCCTGCCAAGAAACAGTCCGAGTGCATGGACAGCAAGAGACACTCCAACAACCAGCCGGCAAACCGCTGGCCTTCTGAAGGCGAAGGGCATCAATCCTCTCTTGGGCCTGACAGTCTGGCAGTGCAAGCCAGACCTCTTGCACGTCGTTTGATCATGAGGATAGTGATAGTCACAAGGAAACAGGCACTAGCTGACAAAGTGCGACGAATAAGAAGAACAGGTCGTTCAGGACGACGACTTCCAAGTACCAGCACATGACATCGCACCTGGGATTGTACCAGTGCTGTTCAGGTTACTGCACCAGCTCATCTGCCGGAGCGGCTACTTCTGCAAAAAAGTCGTCTGAAAACGAATTACAAGCAGAATACAAGACACGAAAGCAAGAGCTTAACAAATTACAAGGAAAAGGACGTCCTGCTGCCACTAAGGAAGCTACAGGTCACCATGACGGCCTCTACACTACCACTGGGACTAGCATGCATCCTAATGCTGAGACTACCGTTAGCAGGCACAATGCAGTTATTGCTGCTACTGCTATGACAACTCACGACCGAAGTCTCCGCACAGCAACCTGCATCTAGAGTCTAGAGGCCCACGGCCTGCCGCTTCAAGGCTTCCTGCTCAAGGCGGGCATTCTTCTTCTCCAAGGCGGCCTCTGCAAGGACACCAAGTCACCAAGTGACCAAAAGTCCGCTCTCGCCGCCTGCCGTGACCTGGTCACAGACTCCTGAACAGCCCGCATCTCGAAAGGCGCAGCATGCGCAGCATGCAGGTCTCAGGGCATGTTGTCGTGCATGGTTCAACATAAGGTGGGGTCACTATACTGGCCCATCGCCGACGATCCTTCAGGGTCTCCGATTTGCAGCTTCTGTCTTCATGCGAGAGTATCAAGGGCTCTGCTCCATCATGCGTAGAATAGATGTCGGAGCATTTCGAGCGCGTCCTCTTGTCACACTCCGCAGTTCTCTTTGAGCCTAGACGCCTTCCTGCAGTGATCCATGAGCCAACATCCACCAACCTGCTTTCCTGCACGTAACTGCTGGCATCGCCTTGCTCAGATCCCAATGGCTGCACATGCTCACGATGTATATCGTGACCCCAACTGCTTGCATCTTGCTCGCTACATCAAGGCATAGGCACAGCCTGTACCATTGTGCCAAGCCCGGTCAAGGCTGTAAGAGACGCTCACTCTCATCAGTCACGTCATACCCTGCATCGTACAAGGCCAGGCGCGTCTCGAAGTCCATGGACTCCTTGGCGCCCGCATCCGGTTCCGGGTCATGCTCTAATATGTCGGCGTGCTGGGAATCCCACCTCTCTTTGTTTCACCAGGCTTAGGCGGTCCTTTGTATGTTGCTGTGCCTGTGGGGTGCTTCACCTTGCGCTCACGTGCTACACATAGCTCAGTGAGCCCAGTCGTGAAGCTCAAGTGAGGGACTCCGACATGCAAGTTCCGAAACCCTATAGGGACTTATTTTATCCCTCCTGATTGGTCCACAAACAGAACAAGTGTTCAGGCCATACATCCGCCGAGACTCCGACCCAGTCAGCTCTCTCTCTTTTGCTTGCTTGCTTGCTTGCTTGCTTGGGGTATGAGCCCCCGTAGGAGCTCTGGCCCGGAGGCCTACCCCCCTTGGTTCGCGTCTGTCTCTCTCGCTCTCTTGCTTGCTGGCTTGCTGGCTGGGTGTATGGAGGAGGGAAAGCCCCTGCTCCCCTACGCACAATGCGCTGCGCCTGTGTTCCGAGTCCGGTCGGTGTGAGACGTAAGTTGACTCGTCGGAGCACGCAGGCCCGATCTCTCTCTCTCTCTCTCCCCGTCTCTGTGGATGGATGGCTTGTTGTTGATTCACGCACACTCGCCAGCATCTTTGCCCTCGAGTTCGATCCATCTATCTACTGGGTCTACCGATATACCGTCTGGTCCACAGAAAGACAGCCACAGGTGGAATGAGATGTAGATGGGCACAGTCGGCAAGGCGGAGTCGGGCTGTGATTCCCCACGAACCTTGACTCGAAACCTTGGTTGCTACCTGGCTTCCTCAAATCGGGGTTTTTCGCGTAGGCACTCCCGTTACTGAACAGTCCGACGGCGGGCAAAAGTAGGACTGCATGCTGACAGACGGCCAGCGATAACGCCTCGGAGAGGCCCCGATCCAGCTCTTGTGGTGCCAGGTTCAGTGCTCGAACATAATTCAACCTGCGATCCTTCAGGCAAAGAGAAAACAAACAGGAAAAAGGATTGGTTTCAGGTCCTGTCGGTCCCGTCCTCCCCGTCACGCATGTTACGGAAGGAACTGGGCGGCTGCGGGTCAGCCAGAAGCTTGTGCAGCCATCCGATCATGGTGTAGCAGCCGTTTCCTGTTGCAACCTGCACAGCACTGCACAGCTCCCTGATCTACCATCCCCGCAGCTCCAGAAATGTGGTGACTGGGCTGCAGTAGAGTGGCCACACCACTGTTGGCACAGAATTCTCCCGATGGCTGCAGTTGCTCCCAAAGCAGCGAGTTCCGCAGCCTCCTGCATAGCAGAGTGGATTGTGCTCGTCCTCCCATCTTTATGCTGGAGGACGCATCCGAGCGCGAAGCTTCTTCGCATGATGCCTACTTTAGTCAGGGCTCAGGCTTGCATGTGGTTGCACGAAAGTCTGCATCGGCCTGGCGCTGCTGGTGGTCTGTGACACACCCAGGAACTCCAAGATGCTCTGCACTTCAGCAGTCTTCCTCAGACTTGGCATAAACACAGCTATCATTAACCGTGCAACGGAGCTATTCCAGACGACTCGCATCACAACCCTCGCTCCCTCATGCCATCTTTCTTTGGGAAGGCATGGGCAGAGTGCAGCAATGCAATATCCGTATGTCGCTTTGTTTCGCAGGCTTGAGGGTCGAAGCCCCTCGCAAGTCCCACTTATCTGCCTTTTCTTGCTTTCTGCCGGGCTTAGGGGTCACTCTGCGTGACCCTCAGGCCGTCGCCCCGGCTCTTTCACACAATGTTGTTATTGGGTTGCCGGCTTTGGGGTTCTCCCATGATCGCTGCATCAGAGCACAGAGTGACGGTGGGTACGAGTGACTGTGCTCCAGGTGGCGACGGGCGCTACGTACCCATAATCCCAGCCCTTTTTTCTTGTTTTCTTTCGCCAGGGCTGTGGTGGGGAGTTGCCTCCCCATAATCCCGGCTCTCTCCAGGAGCCGGGGCTGAACGACCCCCCCGCAGTTTTGCCGCAGGGAGGCTCGGCTATACTAGGAATGTTTCCCCTGTACGTACTAAGAGTTGCCCGTTGCCATTCTCTCAATCTCTCTCTCTCTCTCTCTCTGAACCTCTGGTTTTGGCCTGCATTCTGGACTCTGGTATCAAGGTACTCAGGTCTACTTGCAGCAACGGCATCAGAGGCGGCGACAGCGTTCTCGTGAGCATGTAGGGCTGGGATAGCACTGACGTTGCAGGTGTCAGCGGCCGCGCAGGATCCACCAGAAAGAGGGCTACAAAATCCCTCGATGCTTCTGCACTCCCGCGATTCACCATCCGGAGAACCCGGTGCGCAACCTTGCTGCTTTTAGTACGGATCAGACGCATGCAGCGAGATTGAAAGCAAAATTCGAAATCGTAAACCCACTTGGCGGCACCCTTTCACCTAAACTAAACCCTTGTGGAAAGCTGCGCATTCAGGAAAACTGTTGGCTCTTGTATGGGATCCCACACCTTGCAACACCCCAACCCTCGTTGTTCTGGAACCCTGCCTGGTAGTTCGAGAAGACTAAGAGGCTGCCAGTGGAGATCGGCACACGGCAGGTCTCCAAGCACGATCCGTCGGAACGTAGGGCTGAACGCAGTCCTTGCCACTTGCGGGAAACCTATCGACAGACCTTTAAGCTGCCGGCTGGGCGAAAGCATGAGATTCAAACACAAACCATGCCAGGTGAATCATGCTCTGGGCTCATATGGACACCCGCTGTTCTTTCCTGCTGCGTTTTGATAATGCAGCGAATGTGCGGTCTTTGGTCAGCTTGTAAAAGTTGTTGCTGCAATCTCCAATGCCCAAGACATCCATCGGCTCGCGCCCACAGAATTCCATGTTGCCGCCCTCCAGGCCCTCGTCGACGTGGTAGTAGTACCTAGAAGAAGCGAGGGGAGAGCAAGCCATGAGGGCGGAGAAGTTGGCTTTAGCCTCTAACCTTTCATTGCACAGTTGGAAGCACAGCACAGTACGACAGCAGCAATGTGCTCCCGGTAGCCATCGACATGCCAGAGACCAACATATTCGGAGTCTGACCCATCTGTGGCAGCAGCTGGCACAATAATTCGCTGTGCCTTGAATACCACCTGACATTACATGCTCCACTTCACAAAACAAACACTTCCAGAACTCCAACAGGTCTGGGTCTTTTCCCGAGAGCGAACTTCCGAGTTGCTCCCATATCAACCCCGTCATCCGTGTCTCGACCTGGATTCTGCGCTCGTCAAGCAGGAGCTGCGGCCGCCGCAGCCGCGCAAGAAGTGGAAGCGCCGCCTGGTAGCATCTACCGTGTGAAAGTCCAGATGCTCACTGCAGCCCTCGCACTGCCTCCAGGACAGGTTGCGCGACTCGCGCAGCCAGAGTTGGGAAGGCGTGGCTTCGAGGACCTGGAAATCAGGCATGGTGCAGAAGCCTGTGAAAACTCAATTCCGTCTGACAGATGGTCTGCCAGATCAGCCAGCTCTTGAAAGGCCTCCAACGAGGCATGCCCTCCCATCTGCAGATACGTCGAACTCGCACGGCACCCACACAGGCCCGTCAGGCGTGTCAGAAAGAAATTGGTTTGGGTCCACAATCATCTCATAGCGGGGAAGGGGTCGATCCTGTGTTTCTGCTGCGTGCTCATCAAGAAGCTTCTTGATCGAGGGAACCTCCATTTTGCAGCTCCAAACGTCCAAATTCCTGCTGCCCTGCTTGGAGTCTCTGGGGAGCTGCCAGACTGGTGCCATAGGGAAGTAGCCAATCGGCTCGAGAAGGCCGGCTCTGAGACTGTCGTATGGGCCACGGCGTAGCTGATATGCAAGCACACCCGCCCTTCCATAGCTCAAGAGGAGGTCTCCATGCTCTCGATCGTCTGTTATAAACGTCCGTGGCTTACAGATGGTCTGGACGATCTCGGGCAGTTCGTCGAACTTCACATCTAGGTCCAGGCTTCCCTCTCCTAAGCTAACTTCTGCCGGCCTGAGCTTTCTGCAAACGAGGGGAAGCAAGGCATCGCAGTCCAAGTCCACTCGCAGCACGGTTTCTGGAAGAGATTCCTTCAGATCCGAAAACAGCATCGCGCTGCGAAGGGCCCGACCATTCCAGAGAAGTGTCAGGCCATCAGTTGGGATGCATAAACGTAGCGCTATCTCCTCCAAGACTTGGCCGAGCATCATCTTCGAAGCCAGGCCTTCTTCCGGCACCAGGAACAACTCCTCCCCTCCCAAACCCCGACCTGAAAGACCCGACGCAGTCAAGGACATCGACACCATCTTCTGCCTGGAAGCTGGCTTTGGCAAGCTGAGCTTTGTCACACGGTTCGCATAGCTTGTCTTCACGGATCCTTCGGGGAATGCCTCCATTCTTTCCAGCAAAACCTGGGAATACTGCACATGCATGTCCGGGGCCATGGCTGAGAAGCCGCGAAGCCCAGCTCTCGCGGGCCACAGAACTTGAGCCGAGCCTCTCGTTCTAGGCCCTAGGCCCTAGGCTACAGGCCGCCATCGCGGCAGGGGCATGTCCTGAAGTCCTGAAGTGCTGCATCGGCGACAGATGGACGAACATGGCCGGAAAAGCGAATAATGCTTTCAGAAGCAGAGCACTGTTCAAAGAAATGGTCCGTGATGGTTTGAGAGTCTAGAATCGTAGCTTTAAGTATTCGGTAGCGATAACCGAAACCTGCTGGTGAGGTGACAAGACAAAGCTTCCCCCGCATATCCTTTTCATTCCATGACATCCAGCAGATCCCTGGCTCGCTGTTCGCCTTTCCAGGGGGCAATTAGATGCTTGGACCCCACTTCTTTTCGTTACTTCGGTGTAGATCGGCACACACGATTTGAAGCGAATTTCCGTCATAACGTTGAAGCCTCAACCTTCGCTACAAGCCCTGGCCCTAACTGTGAAATGCAAGCCTTGCGATGTGCAGGAGAAGCCACAGGGATCCATACAGTACATGTTGCGACTGGCCGAGCAATCTCCGCTTTCACAGGCCTCCCAGGCCCCGCTGCGGCCGGCGCGTGGGCACCGCAGGGGGCGGCGAGGGCAGAGCGAAGCGCACTCGGGAGCTCGAGGTTCTGCCTTGCACGAGGGGTGCACGAGGGGGCCAGTCCAGCGCTGGGCGGCTTGCAATAGCCAAAACTCCCTAACGCCCACATTGTTCCTTCGGATTCGAACCTTCTTGCAACCACCCTTCTTTTGTCTCCTCTTCTCTGGTTTTTGGAGCAGAATGAAACAGGAGAGAGTCGCCTGCCTCTGCCTTTCCCCGTCTGCTAAGATTCCCGACTACGGATAGGGAAAAAAGGACTCAGATATGTGCGGGATTGTCAGGCAGTACGGATTACATCAAGTTGGGCTCAGGGGCTCCTCCGTGACAACCATCTTACAGGATGACAAAACATGTGATAGGCTCAGCAGCGCGGAGAGTATGGTACAGAGCCTTCCGATGACGAAGGCCCTGGGGGAAATTTAGACACCGGCCCTGCTCGGCAATATGGAAAAGAGACATGGGCACGAGGGGGCCACACTCGGGAAGCAGCTCCCTCCCTCCCTAGGGGGAGGTGCTGGCCTCCACCTACCGCGCCCGTCCATCTCGCAATGGAGGCTTTGGCCTTGACTGTCCACCGGCTTCAAGACTTGCTGACGAAACCAGAACAAGAAACCAACAAGTTACAGAGAGACTCACGGCACGGCATCCAGAGCTGCAAAAGACACCCCTTCTCGCTGCCAGCACAGACGGGCTTTTGTCTTCCGATGCTGCAGCTAACATCTGTTCTTCTACAAGCATGATGCAAGCGTGATGTGCGTGGTCGTGATGGAGCCTGCCGACTCTTGTCCTCATTCGTCTTCTGCCTCGCTCTTGTGGGGCATCTGGTGGTGAGCAGGAGCACGTTGATGCAACACAATGCCGAGTCCTGAAGAGCTGAATATCATTCGCGACCGTCACTGAGGTTCAATGCCAGCTTATCATAGCCAGTAGCGCCGTAGACGAACCACACCTACCAGGAGGCCAGGAAGGGCCAAGGGCTATTGCCGAAACCTTCGACCGGAAAGATACACAAAGCACAGCGAACACAAAAACGCTATATTTTGAAGAATTCTCATGGTCTTTGGCCTGGCCATGTGTCGGAACCCCCTCGAAGGTCATGACACCTTGCTTGTGGGCAGAACGATCATCTGCCGATTCGTCTACTTCCAAAGTAACCTCGGCTTTTGCAATATTTCGTCTGGCACGTGAACAGCTCGGCAATTCGTCAAGCTCTGATCGCAGCTTTGCGGCACTCTTGGGCCGAACTGACTTCAGCTCACGTTTCGAGTCAAGGAAGCTCAGCCTGGGAGAGCAACACGAAGAACGTCGTGCTGTGCCTGCTATGCTATGCTGAGCGGCCTGGAAGTGCTGGGGTCTTGAAGTTTTCCAAGCGATCCATCGCCCCAGGCGCTGAACTTGATTTCAACCGCGTTCCAGCCGGCTTGGCAAACCTGCAACGAAGCCGAGTTGCTTCTGTGTGAGTGGGCGAGGCAGCGCCGCTATTATTCACCACTTTCTCGACTGCATCCGACCTGAAGCACGGAGCAGAAGTAGTCCCCGTTGTACCCGCTTATTCCAGCGTTCCTGAGCATCAGCAGGTGTGTGACCTTTGCTGCATCCATCAGTGTCCCCTTGGGCTGTTTCCTGGCTGAATTTCGCCCCAATGTGTCTCTGCACTCCTCAATCGCAACATGACATTCGATACTCAGTTCACTAGTATCCTTTCGCAGGCGTTCCCAATCCGAAGTGGAATTGAGAGGGATCCTGCTTTGGCTTCCCCAAACATGGCCCAGCGACTGTTGCGGAAATCCATCAGTTTGTGAAGTGCGCGCCGGATCGAAATTGTACATGTCTCGTCAAACATGGTACAGTATCGGGCAGAAGCAAACCATGATCAGGATCCGTGGAGACACGAAACGGAGTTCATCATTCCAGCAAGAGTCTCCAGAAAACAGCCAGTGCAGCGAAGAGCAATCACATCCGTCTCCTGCACCAGAGAATCCCTGAAGCGAACGACTGCAGGCGAAGCACGAAGTGATGGCTTTGGACCCTGACTTGCAGGGCATTGCTCCAAATGCGACCGACGTCGTGTCACCTCCTTGATGCCAAGAGCTTCCAGTGTCTTGTCTCCGTCGGAGCTTACGTCCAAAACACCTTAGACAGCAAGAGCATTGCGTTTTGTCGTGGCAAGATAGCCAATATCACACAAGGCAGCATTAAAACCGAAACCTCTCCGCTTAGAAGATCTTATAAGGCTTCAGAATTCACTTGACTCCCTTCCTCTGATACCATTAATTCAAGTAGCTGGTGCCGGCAGTCAGGCGCAGCATCCAAGGCGCGACATCAAGTGCTCTTGCGACTGCCTCATAGAGCTCCACCAGCCTCGCAGAGGCCTCAATGGAGACCTGAAAAAATGTAAAGCCCAACAACATCCAAGAACCATCAGCCATTAGCAACCGCTTTCCAGAGCTGACTCGAAACAGAGTCTGAGGTGCGAACTGGATACATGTTGCCATTGATCGCCTGAACTTGGAGATCCACGACCTCGTGCGCTTCCGAAGGATTCCAGGCTTTCAGGGAGATTCGAACGGGATTCCGGGCGGAAGCAAAAAGTGGCACTCAGAACGGAGCCTCTCCTCCGTTCTGGCGGATGTCTGTGGACGCCGGTGATGGTCTGAAGTCGCCGTTGGTACTGCTTGCCAGGCCCATACTCGCAAGCACAGGTCGTCGCCATGGCTGGTCGCTGATAGCACAGGGACTACGGGCCACGCAGCGAACAGTTTTCGGAAGTCACATTGGTGTTCTGAGCACAACAAAAGCTTTGAAGGCTCACTGCAGCAGTCTCTGCCAGAACACCGAAGCTTTGGGCGCATGGCGAGTGGCGGCCGCTGTGTCACGCCTATGCAACGGCAGCAATGGTGAATTCGGCGGATTCTAGGCTCCCAACAAACTGCAGACGAGAACAGCAGAAATTCAACTTGGACAAAGACCATTGCCATGACTCACAGTGAACAGGCTGAGGTCAGCTCAACTGGAGATGCTGCCGGAGTCCAGAGAATTATCCTCATGTCGTGAGCGTAACTTCAACATGTTCCCTTCAGGCGAAGAGATCGAAGGGTCTCTGAGTTCTAAGTTTGGTAAGGGCAGACACGCACATACACGATAAGAAGAGCTTCAAAGCCTGTGCAGAGGTGGCAGCTTGGGATCAAGTCGAAACAACATCCATTCAAGCGAGCAGATATCAATGGTCCAGGCTTACTGCTACAGCGAGACCAGAAGTTGAATCGAGTGCCGATTCCTTTTCGGGCCCTAGGCTTGCAGGGCCTGCGGCACAGGATTTCCGCTCTCCACTTCTGGCAGGACCTGGCTCCAAAGTCGAAACCAGAAAAGCCACAAGCGTTCTGTGCTGCCTACTGCATCTGGGAAGCTTTCGCCCTGTGCCAGTGAATGCGTGCTTAACAAGACGGTGCGCACCTTCCACCGGAGCATCATCTCAGCAAGTGCTGCATTCTGGTCTTGTAAAGACATGACCTGCTCCAGGATGCAGCAATTTCAGAAGAAAGGGAATTGCGGAAGCTCCGAAGGGCCTGCTCGTAGGACTGAAGCCGAGTCTGCTCCTTGTCATGGCACCGCGCCGGGTCTTCGGAGCTCTCAGCTTGGGCTTGCCGAGTCGCATCAAGGAAGTATGCCCCAGCCATGATGATCAGCATGGCCACCTTGCCAGCACGCACCAGGCAAGCGGCAAAGCACGTGAAAGTGCCAGCCAAGGAGCACTGTACATGCCATATCGAACCTGAACAGCTGAGACTGGAATGTCTGAGGCTTTCAGCCGCTTTCAGCTGCATGTGGCAGGCTTTAAACTCACGAACACTTTGAGTGCTGTCTAAAGCCTTGATAACTGTGCGATAGCCGACGCGATGCCAATCTAGTGCAAACCGGAAGCATGGTCGAACGCAAAGAAGTCCATGAAGCCACCTTCCGGGTCCCGAATCAATCAGGCATTTCACGAACTTAAAGACTGCGAGCCTTGATATGCCAACACGATCATCAGGGAGCAGACTTCGAACCCAACCAAGATGCAGAGCACCACCGAGTGTACCCGGCACATTACCTGGCTCTCTGTCCTAACGAGTACGCCATCCCTCGAACTGTCGTTTTCGTTTTCAGGCTGGGAGTCACATTGGAGCTCACCGGGTTGCGTGGGATTCGCTAACTTTGCCATCAACTGAAGTGACCAGCACCAGGGCGAGGAAAGAGGAGTGTGGCAAAGTTGAAGAAACACAGATTGTTGTTTCTGCAGGGGCTTATAACCATCGCCAAGTTCCTAGTTGGTAACGTCGAAACAAACTCAAAAATCGCTCGCTTTGGTTGTTGCACTGTTCTTCAACCGGAAGTGCACTGCCCGATGCTGACTTTGGATAGTCCCCCTTTGTTGCCGAATGGTAGCTTGAAGACATGTCGCTTCCTGGCGGACTCCACTTCGTCACCTGCTACACCTGCATGTCTTTGGAATATCATACCGCACGTGCTGACTCGTTGTCGCATGTGCATCACCGTTAGCTTTCAGAAGTCTCGCTTCTACGAAGCCACATGGACAAAGAAGCCAAGGCACAGCAATGGCCGAAAACCTGAACAGTGTTAAGTATACATGCACAGTCACGCAGCACATCCACTACACCACATACCTACCCTCCTGCACAGCACCAGATATCGTTTTGAGAACTCAGAACAACAACAGAATCTGAGGACGAAGACCACAAGGCGTCGCCCACAAGGATCTGGGGAGGAACGTTCCACAGCAGAACGTCCAGGAGGCCAAGCCTGACAAAGCAGCTGCTACTGCATGAACTATCGCTGTCATGTGTGTGCATGCTGCAGGCGTGACAGGTTCAAAGCATGCGCAAGTCCACCATACAGCCTTTGAGTTTGAACTTGCATGTCATCATGTAGGCATCTCAGGCAGCTCCGATCCATGCTCTTTGGCATTGCCCTTTCTCAGTGTCCCAAGCGCACGAGGTGTCCTTCTTGTGAACAGGAGGTATGTGCATTGCAGCAGCCCTATACTTATCTGAACAGCGCTCCGTGCAGCTTTTTGTACATTGATGCTTCAAAAAAAGCTAAGCTCAGCTCCTGCTTGCTTTACACTGCCTCACCCTCGCCGCTTTTGCCCCAGTGGTCCCAGCATCCATTGCCCTTGCGCTGGGTGTAGTAGGCGGCGGCTCGCTCATCGCCCTTGAACGGCACCTGATGTTTTCATGCTTTCACACGAAGACAAGAGGCAGCCGAGGATCCAACTCTGCCCCGATTTCTTCCCCCCCCTCTCCCCGCAATACTACCCCCGGCCTTGACGTATCCCGCGTACTCCTCCAGCTCACCCTTCTCGTTCTTCTTCCAAGTGTAGGTGTAGCTCTCGGTCTTCTTCGCCGGCTTCAACGGAAGGACATACAGGCCGCTAGGGTGGGACATCTCAGGGTCATCCTCGTTCACCCACTTGGAGCCAGCCATGCGCACCACGGCACCCTCCGGCCTGCAGCCTTTCAGTGCAGATCCGGTGAAGCTTGGGCCCCAGGCCATGTAGGCCAGGGCGCCCAGCACCAGAAATCCAGATCCAGCACGGCGGTTCATCTTGGGATTGGCAGGAGGGGCGGCCGACGTGGAGCCAACTCGAAATGCAGCATGTGGCAAAGAGAATGCACACGTGTAAATTCTACATCACTCGCACTACCTGGAACAAACCCTTGCCAGGATCTCGTATCCGCCGGGCAAGCACAACACTGCAGATCAAGAGCACGCAAGACATGTGTAGAATTTGGATCTACGGCACCGACACATTTGTCATGCTGCCACGGGTGTGCTTGCGATGTACAGAGGGGGATTTCGGTGCTTAGACTGCCTCACCCTCGCCGCTCTTGCCCCAGTGGTCCCAGCATCCATTGCCCTTGCGCTGGGTGTAGTAGGCGGCGGCTCGCTCATCGCCCTTGAACGGCACCTGATGTTTTCATGCCTTCACACGAAGACAAGAGGCAGCCAAGGATCCAACTCTGCCCCGATTTCCTCCCCCCCCCTCTCCCCGCAAT